TCTGTCCTGCATGTCCAACATCTGTCAATAGTCAAGGCAAGGGCAGTTTCTCTGCCTAGTAGCTAACTTTCCCACAAATGAAAGAAAACTCAATATGGAGGTATTTCAATGCCCACAATCCTGTTTTGAAGTAAATTAGTGCTACCAGGAACTAATGTGTATCACTGTAATTAAAATAAAATAAAATAAACTTACATTATTAAATATTGTAAATGTATTTTGTAGTTTTCTAAATTGTTTGAAGACCATCTGTTTAAATTTAATTTCTGCTTGACCTTAAAAACTTATCTAACAAGATCACAAATTTGATTACTATAGATGACTAACTACCAACCTGCATTTCTTTATTATTCTAAACAGCTTTCAAGGAGTAAATCTTTATATATATATATATATATATATATATATATATATATATCACATTGACCCCGGTTCCCCCTCCCTCCCTCACTCTTTCCCTCTATCTCACCCTCACATGCACCCCAACCACACTCCCCTCACATCCCTCTCCCCATATGTAGGGTGATGTCCCCCAGGAGGGGTCATCTAAATCTATCAAGTCATTTGAAGTAGGGACTAGTACTTCTCTCCTGTCTCTAGGTTAAGAGAGTATCCTTTGTGGGGATGTGCCCACAAAGTCCTTTTGTGCACCAGGAATACATCCTGGTTCTACTGTCTGAGGTCCCTTAGACTGCTCAGGCCTTCTAGCTGAGACCCATGTTTAGGGTGTCTGAGTCAGTCCCATGTTGGATTCCCAGCTATCTGTCTGGGGGCCCATTAGCTCCTACTTGTTCAGGTAAGCTGTCTCTATGTATTTCTGTATCCTATTCTCTTCCTCTCTCTCTGCATCTGGATTCCAGTTTGGCTCAGTGTTTAGTTGTGGGTGTCTGCTTCTGTTTCCATCAGCTACTAGATAAGGGCTCCTTGATGGTGAATAAGTTAGTCATTGATCTCATTATCAGGGAAGGATATTTATGGTAGCCTTTCCACTGTTGCTCAAATTGTTAGTTGGGGTCAGCCTACTTTAGGTTCAGTTTTTTGTTCAAACCTATAATGGCTCCCTATTTTATGGTTTCTTTGTCTCTCTTTATATTTTTAAAGAGAACTCCATAAGTATAATACTTTAAACAAGTGTAGAAACATATATACACTAAGACAAAAATAACCTTAAAATTTTAACAATATACAAAAATAATTTAAACAAGAGTACAGACATGTACAGAGTACGTTCTATAAACTAACCTTCTTTTCTTTGGGTGTGCTATCAACCCAAGGGTACCCTGAAGCCAAGACATCTCTAAAATATATAATCTGGTTTAATTCAGCACTTAACAGGATCCAGATGTCCTGTGTACTTCCTTGGCTTCTGTGGCTTACTTTTTTTTTTTAATATTACATTAATCTTTCAAATGCTTTATTTTATTATTTAAAAAAATTAAGAGTTTCTTTACCCATTTTCTACTGTATTTGTTTCAAGGTTCTCTGCCTAAACCACTTTAACTGCACCTGTAGTGTTCTTTGACTACATGGGCCAAGTCTTACATCTGCTGTGTGTGTCTACCTTCCAGGAGACTGTGGGACTAGGAAGCCATGTCTGGCTCTGTGTTTATGTGTGTGGAATTTTGTTTTAAGCTTTCTCAGGTCCTATGTGGAAATATGTTTCCCCACATTGGATGTGATGTTTACCTAAATTGTATTAGTATAAACAAAATTCACAAGTCAGAAGTTGAGATTAAAAACCTGATAAATAGAAGGAACAGTGGAAAGGCAACTGGATGACCCTATTCTCCACATTTTCCAAATTTAAAAGTCCCAGGAAGTCCTCCCAACGCCTCTATCCAACTTCCTCATTCTTCCAATATCTGTAGAGTTAATCCTAATCAACTAATCACTGACTCTGTCTTTGAGTCAAGGTGGCTTTATTGGCACTGTGAAACAGCAGTATGAACAATTTTTCTGCAACTGTTTTGTGATGGAAGGACATCAGGTAATTCATGGCTTCTTGATCCAAGCTATTACCCCAAAATAATAGATATAGGCGAAAAATTATTTCAACCTATGAATTTTATATAGTCACTTGTTTTATTGTTTGTATTTTATTGTTGTTTAAGACCATGCAGTATTTAACTGATATTGTAAATCAACCCATTTCAAACCCAGATCTTATAAAGATCTAATGATTATCCATGACCAGACTCTCATGTAGGGGAAAGGAGTGAACCAAGTGAGAAAATAATCTATAGAACAATTTAGAAATCCACACAGGGAAAAGAAGAAGGAAGAAGAAGAAGAAGAAGAAGAAGAAGAAGAAGAAGAAGAAGAAGAAGAAGAAGAAGAAGAAGAAGAAGAAGAAGGTTGTTCTGTTGGTATAATTTGGTTTTGGAAACTGATAAGTAATTTTAAGATATAAACTCTGACTTGGATAAAAAAAAATCCATTCAGAAAAAAATCACAGCCAATACATGGGGATGATTGGGTAGGAGACATTCTGAGGAAGCCACAGAATACACACAATTATAGTCCTTCCACTGCCTTCACTCATCCCACCCCCTAAGAATATCCCCAAGTACCCAAGTATTTGTAATTATAACTCCTTTCTGCCACATTTAGATGTTTTAAAGTGGACTTTGACCAATAACCAGAAAGTCACAACACCAGTCCATGCAGCTCTTCAATAAAGTGGCTCCCAAACATGCACCAAATCTAGTATAGTATTCCTAGACTGGCTTCCAAGCTGACTAGGGGCACAGGCAAAGAGAGAGTCCTTCCCACCGAGCCCCTGCAGCTCCCGCCATCCGGTTAGCCCCTGCCCATCCTTAGGTCTGGCTTGTTTAGTCAGGCCTTCTGCACGGACTCACCGTTCTCTCTATCACCGGCCCAGGCCCGGCAGGCCCGCGACTCTCCCCATCCTCCAAGGCTGGGCTCTCGCCCCGCCCCAGACACGCCTCTCTGGATCAGTCCACGCCCCCGCCTTCTGGTCCTTGTGGTCTCTGGTCCCGCCTCGCTCCAAACGCGCCTCTCCGGATAAGGCTCTGCCGCACCTTCAGGGCCCTGTAGCCTTTTCTCGCCCTTGGCTAGATAGGAAACCTCAGCTAGCTCGGCTGAGTGTCGGCTCGAGCGACATCCGGGCCTTGAGTCGCGGTGCGAGCTGGAGAAAGCGCCTCACAGCGCCCTCCGCCCGCGGGTTGCTACGCGTCACCGGAGCCGCCCCTGTGAGTTTCCAGCGTTCCTCGATGGCGAGCGTGACTGGGCATGGAGACTTGGCCCTGAGGAGATTTCCTACCCAGACAGAACCGTAGTGCTTGGGAGACCTGGCGATGAGGAGACCCTGCGAATTGGAGACCTAGCCCGGCTGCTGCCAGTGCAGCCCCTACTCGCCTACGGTGTTGGTGGTCTCCGCAGGCCCGTTTCCCTAGAGAACAGCCATGTCTTGAACACCCTACCTTCGCCTGTGTTGGTGCCCAGCTCAGCTTGTAGACCCTGGTGCAGGTGTCTTGAGGTAAGCTGCCTTGGCTCTCTAGATGTCTCCACTCATCGCAGCCGCAGGTCAGGAAGTGAGGGAGCTGAGCAGAAGGCCGATGAGTTCTCAAGACACGAACTAAAATATGCAACAGGCGAGGCAGGTTAGGAAACTACTAGAAGTGTTTGCTATGTGCAGAAAGGAGGCTTGTCTAAGACTGAAATTTATTCTCCCAAATCCAAGACAGACAAAGGAGAGGCCTGTACCTTAAACCTGAGTCTGAGCACCCTCTGGTGGCTCGTGGCGAGTATGCTGAAGGCAGCGCTACAGGTGAGCAACTGAGCCTTTTTTTTTTTTTTTGGTCAGCCTCCCACCCTACCAGTTGTAATTTGTCCTCAGAAAAATGACTTGTCTCGTGCAGAAACTTTCTGATTCGTTAAAAACCATAATTTTAAAGTGTCATTATGACTTACTTTTCATAACTAAAGTAACAAGACTATTTTATTCATTTTTTTATTGATGGTGACATGTTAATTGCAACATGTTTACATAGCTAAAGCAAACACATTGAGATATAAATTATATCTTGTAGTTGGCGTCTTCTCTGTTAATATTAACTGGGATCCAAATGTGTGAAAATATGCGGGGAAACAAGAGAAAGAAGTCAAATAATATCAAATGTTACTGTGATTCTCACATTTTTATGAAATGAAGTATTTATATTTAAACCATCAATCTTAATTCTCAAGATACCTGTGGCCTTGCTTTGTTTTTTGCTTTTGTTTTCCACCCAGAGAGGAGTGACATGAAAAAAAAGAATAGAAAAAAGTCTTCAGTGTTGCTAAAAGGGGAATTTTCTTTTCCAGTTGGTGGTTATGATTTGAAGAGGAACACCTAGAGTTTGAAGAGCTTAAGATTCTTCTAGAAGTATAGATAAACATGATAAAAAGAAGATTTGGAGATAATTTAAAAAGGTGTTTGAAGTGGAGGCTGAAATTTCTGTCATGTTTGTCAACCATGTAGGACTTTGAACATTATTCTATATATTTTCCTCCCCAACATGGAAGAAGAAACAATTTCCAAACCCTGATATATAGGACACTGAGAGATATAATAGTGAAGTTTGCTCACTCTGAGAATGACAATATTTTATCATCTTGTTTTGGGGAACAAGCAGAAACATACCATATATGTATGGTGAATTAATCACAAAGGATGGTTCCTTGTGCTAAATGCTACAAATGACTTTATTTAAATTTTGGGATTTTTTTCCTCATGATTTTATATGTTAATTAATTAGATTTATATAAAGGAAATAAATTCTGGATTAATGCTCTTTTTTGACTACATTGCTGCTTTCTGTACATTATGGAGACACTGGAGGCATTCATATTCCTTGAAGTTTTATTTTATTGGATGCAAAACTGTGCCAGAGACACACAAATGTGATTTAAGTTTTCTTTTCACAACAACTTTCCTTACCTTGAGCTGAATGTTATCTGGATTTCACAAGCGATGACTTATAAAGACTTTTATCTAGAGCTTTAATATGTAATTTGTAATAACCAGATAAGAAACATTAAAAACTATTTATCATGTATGCCTGAGGAAAAGATCTTCCTGATGGATCATGGCGTTAATGTTTACAGGATATTTCATATTTTTTACATTGGTGATTTTTATTTTTTCTTCCTGTGAAAAATCTGTGAGCAATTACTCTGGATGGGCAGTTTTCACAGATGATATGGAACAGTTTAAGAAAGTACAAGATTTCAGACCCAATCAAAAACTTCATCCAAATTTGTATTTTGATGCTGGGGATGTACAAACAATGAGACAAAAATCTCGTACAAGCCATTTACATCTTTTTAGAGCTATCAAAAGTGCAGTGACAATTATGCTGTCCAATCCAACATACTACCTACCTCCACCAAAGCATGCCGATTTTGCTGCTAAGTGGAATGAAATATATGGTAATAATCTTCCTCCTTTAGCACTATATTGTTTATTATGTCCAGAAGACAAAGTTGCTTTTGAGTTTGTCTTGGAATACATGGACAGGATGGTCAGCTACAAAGACTGGCTAGTTGAGAATGCACCAGGGGATGAGGTTCCAGTTGGCCATTCTTTAACAGGCTTTGCCACTGCTTTTGACTTTTTGTATAATCTGTTAGGTAATCAGCGAAAACAAAAATACTTAGAAAAGATACAGATTGTTACTGAAGAAATGTATGAATATTCCAAGTTTCGCTCATGGGGCAAGCAACTTCTTCACAACCACCAAGCTACAAATATGATAGCATTACTCATAGGGGCTTTGGTTACTGGAATAGATAAAGGATCTAAAACAAACATATGGAAACAAAATGTTGTTGATGTTATGGAAAAGACTATGTTTCTCTTGAATCATATTGTGGATGGCTCTTTGGATGAAGGTGTAGCTTATGGAAGCTATACCTCAAAGTCAGTTACACAGTACGTTTTCTTGGCACAACGCCATTTTAACATTAACAACTTGGGTAATAACTGGTTAAAAATGCACTTTTGGTTTTATTATGCTACACTTTTGCCAGGCTATCAAAGAACTGTAGGTGTAGCAGATTCCAATTATAATTGGTTTTATGGACCAGAGAGCCAACTAATTTTCTTGGATAAGTTCATTTTAAGGAATGGAGCTGGAAATTGGTTAGCACAGCAAATTAGAAAACACCGACCTAAGGATGGGCCAATGGTTCCTTCCACCGCCCAAAGGTGGAGTACTCTTCATACTGAATATATCTGGTATGATCCAAAGCTTACCCCACAGCCTCCTGATGACTTTGGCATAGCTAAAATGCACACATTTCCTAACTGGGGTGTTGTGACTTATGGGGCTGGACTGCCAAATACACAGACCAATACCTTTGTGTCATTTAAATCTGGGAAACTGGGAGGACGAGCTGTTTATGACATAGTTCACTTTCAGCCATATTCCTGGATTGATGGATGGAGAAGCTTTAACCCAGGACATGAACATCCAGATCAAAATTCATTTACTTTTGCCCCCAATGGGCAAGTATTTGTTTCTGAGGCTCTTTATGGACCAAAGTTCAGCCACCTTAACAATGTATTGGTATTTGCCCCATCACCATCAAGCCAGTGTAATAAGCCTTGGGAAGGTCAACTAGGAGAATGTGCACAGTGGCTTCAGTGGACTGGTGAAGAGGTTGGTGATGCAGCTGGGGAAGTCATTACTGCTTCACAACATGGAGAAATGATGTTTGTGAGTGGGGAAGCAGTGTTTGCTTATTCTTCAGCAATGAGACTAAAAAGTGTCTATCGTGCTTTACTTCTCTTAAATTCTCAAACTCTACTTGTTGTTGACCATATTGAAAGACAGGAGACTTCCCCAATAAATTCTGTTAGTGCCTTCTTTCATAATTTGGATATTGATTTTAAATACATCCCATACAAGTTTATGAATAAGTATAATGGTGCCATGATGGATGTGTGGGATGCACACTATAAAATGTTTTGGTTTGACCATCATGGCAACACTCCTGTGGCTAATATACAGGAAGCAGAACAAGCTGCTGAATTTAAGAAACGATGGACTCAGTTTGTTAATGTTACATTTCATATGGAATCCACAATCACAAGAATTGCTTATGTATTTTATGGACCATATATCAATGTTTCCAGCTGCAGATTTATTGAGAGTTCCAGTTCTGGACTTCAGATTTCTTTAAATGTCAATAACACTGAACACAGTGTTTCTGTTGTAACTGACTATAAAAACCTGAAGAGCAGATTTGATTACCTGGGATTTGGTGGTTTTGCTAGTGTGGCTAAGCAAGGTCAAATAACCCAATTCGGTTTGGGGACTCATGTATTAGTAAACCCTGTAAGACATGATACAGTTCTTTTCCCTTTTGGGTTTAAATTTAATGTAGCAGTTGGATTCATTTTGTGTATTAGTTTGGTTATTTTAACTTTTCAATGGTGGTTCTACCTTTCTTTTAGAAAGCTATTGCGCTGTGTTTTAATACTTGTTATTGCCTTGTGGTTTATTGAGCTTCTGGATGTGTGGAGCACTTGCACTCAGCCCATCTGTGCAAAATGGACAAGGACTGAAACCAAGGCAAATGAAAAGACCATAATTTCTGAAGGAAAGCATGTAGATCTGCCTGATGTTGTTATTACCTCACTCCCTGGTTCAGGAGCTGAAATTCTGAAACAGCTTTTTTTCAACAGTAGTGATTTCCTGTATATCAGAATCCCTACAGCCTACATTGATATTCCTGAAACTGAATTTGAAATTGACTCATTTGTGGATGCTTGTGAATGGAAAGTATCAGACATCCATACTGGGCATTTTCATCTTCTAAGAGGGTGGCTGCTATCTTTGGTTCAGGACACAAAACTTCACCTACAAAACATTCATCTACGTGAAACCAGTAAGAATAAACTGGCCCAATATTTTGCTACCAATAAGGACAAAAAACAAAAACAGAAAAGGAGAGAGTCTTTGCCAGATCAAAGAAGTAGAATGAAAGGAACACTTGATAATCGAGATGCAGAATATATTAGGGCTTTGAGGAGACACCTAGTTTATTACCCAAGTGCTCGTCCTGTGCTCAGTTTAAGTAGTGGTAGCTGGACATTGAAGCTTCATTTTTTCCAGGAAGTTTTAGGAACTTCAATGCGAGCATTGTACATAATAAGAGACCCTCGAGCTTGGATCTATTCAATGCTATATGGTAGTAAACCAAGTCTTTATTCTTTGAAAAATGTACCAGAGCACTTAGCAAAATTGTTTAAAATACAGGAAGGTAAAAGTAAATGTAGCTCAAATTCAGAATATGCTTTTGAGTATGAATCATTGAAGAAAGAATTAGAGAGATCCCAATCAAATACTGTCACCTTACTATCTCATTTATGGCTAGCAAATACTGCAGCAGCTTTGAGAATAAATACAGATTTGCTGCCTAATAGCTATCACCTGGTCAAGTTTGAAGACATTGTTCATTTTCCTCAGAAGACTACCGAAAGGATTTTTGCATTCCTTGGAATTCCATTGTCTCCTGCTAGTTTAAACCGAATACTATTTGCCACATCCACAAACCTTTTTTATCTTCCTTATGAGGGAGAAATATCACCATCTAATACTGATATCTGGAAACAAAACTTGCCTAGAGATGAAATTAAACTAATTGAAAATATTTGCTGGACTCTGATGGATCGTCTAGGATATCCAAAGTTTATGGACTAAATGCTGCAGGTCAGCAAAAAATTGTATTAATGTGTTCCAAACTACTTTGTGGATATTAACTAGATAATTTAGTTTATTCTTCTACATGTGTGTATGTCTGGAGAGAGTGTGTGTGTTCTGTGTGTTATTTGCACATAAGGATACTTTCAAAAATAGGCATCATATTTGGCCTAGCACGACTCATTTTTATGTTACCATTTTACTTTCCTTGCTTTCTGAATTTTGTTTTCTGATTAAATGTTTGTGCTACAGAAATATATATTATAGAGATGTGGGAAGATGGGAAGATTTTAGTGGACTTTAACTTGCCTTCTTTGGTAACTGTACTAATCTATCATGGAACCTCAAGCACTAAAAAAATTCTTGCAATTGATGCTTTATCTAGTCATCTCTTGCTCTTAAGATGCTCTTAAGATTCCTTGTGTTTTGGAAAGGTCTTGTAACAGTTATCTTGAACAAAGAAAAATTAAATAAAAAATTCTTTGACTTTGTTTAGTGTTTACTAAAATCACTGGGGAGATGATAAAAGTTTCTGTTGGAACTTTTAGAAAATATCAATGAAAATATAAAGGCTTTATTTTTATTTCTTTTTTTTTTTCTTACTCAAAAATAACAGTGGATGCTGAAATTCAGTGGCTTATTTTGGAAATGCTGCTGTTTTCAAAAGCTCTCATTTGCTTCCCTGAAGCCATTGCTCTTACCCATTACACCATACTTAACATTTCTTGCCTTGCTGTCATTGTCAACAAAACAGTAGTTAGTAACTACGAAACTTTGGAAGTCCCAATAACCCCTTCCCTGTATTATTAATTTTGTGTTAAAGACTAACACAGACTTTTAACCAGATATAATTTTGTGGCCTTATCACTCTATGACTCAAAGGAAGGAGAATCAGTTTGCTGCCAGTGGTGAGTTTTCTGTTCTTGTTGTTGTAGGTGGGTATGGGGTGTGGTTGTGGTGCAAATGTGTGGAGGCTGGAAACAGAGTTAGAAAGCTGCCTGACTCATTCCTTATCCTCTGAGAATTTTCAGGCTGCTAGTGTTTGCCAAAGCTGTAGCCAATTGAGAGATGATGTGAGAGGCATCTGTTCCCTTTACCATCTGTATCTTATTATAAATATAGGCAGCATAAAATGTGGTTCATTTTATTTGGTAGTTTCTGAAAAAAAAAAAAAAAAAAAAAAAAAAAGCTGTTCTACTATAAACCAGTGGAATAATTACAGTGTGTTTAGTGAACCTTGTCAGTCAGCATTAGGATTTGATGAGAATCTATGCAGATTGCCTTCTACTTCCTGATGTTTCAAATTAGTTTCCTTAAGTTCTCTAACTTACAGACTCTCGCACTCTTACCTAGATAAGAATGATTCTCAGTAGCTTCTTATTAGAACAAAATGATAAAATTTTATCAGAGTGATAAAGTTGGAATATGTTATATTCCAGCTGAATTTAACTTAGCTGTGTTATCTTTTCCTCTATTATGGCATGAGTGGAGAATGTTACATGTTCCCTACATTTTTTCTTCCCCTTATGGATCATTATTTCTCCCTCATGCTAAAATGAATAAAAATTACTATATATTGAAGATCCAACTCTACATTTTCATTTTGAAGGGGGTTTTCTCTATCTTTGGTTTGTCAGCAAAGATAACATTGCTATATGGATAATAACACTATTTTCACTATTGGTCAGACTCTTCATTTCTTTTAGTTTTCAGAATATGATCTTAAGTGAGACAAAGTAGGAAATATCTGGGTACATAATACTAAGGTAAAAATTAGAAATGTGTAAAGGGACAGAGAAGCCAGTGAGAGCTGCTTATGCCTTTATTTGAATAATATATAGAAATACACCCATGTGCAGTAGGTGGAGGAAAAGAGAAAATGATTTAGAAAATAAATTGAGTGATTTTGAGAAGGGATATGGGAATATTTTACTGATGAATCACAGTGAAACATAGCTTTCTATTGCATTTAGCAATCAAAGGCTAGGCTTTTTAACCTCAGAGGAAATGTGAGACATCAGGCATTTTCTTAGTTTTTCTCATCTGAAGAAGTCTATTTTGTAGATCCTCTTGGAGGAGTATTGCCTAAGTCCCATTGCCTTGCAATTTGAGTACTTAAGGTGAATGATGCTCCTGGCACATACTAGTCCCTTTAAACTTTATTACCAACATACAAATAAGATTATCATATTTTATTGTTTATGAAGAATTAGAGCCTTTTAAAATAGCCTATCTGTAAAAGCCATTTATTTATCAATGTCCTGAAACTTAAATTTAATTGGTAAAACTAATTAAAAATGACAATGAATTTTTATTGAGAAATTAGGCTATCAGCAAAGTAGGAAAACAGTGATAATGCAGTCTTCAAACATTTCCCACTTGTACATACTTAATGTAGATGAATAGAAAATAACCCATGCTAAAGCTAAACCTCACTTACAGTTAAATTTTTTTTGCAAACCTGGTTGTTAAATTTATGAATATGTTTAAATACATAATTTTTTATCAAGATGACCAATGACATTTACATTTCAGGCCTTGATTATACAAAATAACACATTTGGTTTCTTTAGACAAGTATAAGAATTAACTGCCTCATAAGAATGAAACAATCTTTTATCAAGTTTTAGAGATATCACGATATGTCAGGCTCCCATCTATAAATGTCTTCAAATAGCCATTTTCATTTTCTTCACACACTAGCATGCCTTAAATATTCTACAGCATGTCTTGTTGACTGAACTTTTAATTGTTATTATTGATCAGAAAATTTTGTGCATCAAGATGTATGCATATTTTTGATGAAGCCTATCACTTAATTTAGGGTAATATGCGCTTCATTTTTACATAAATCTTTGTTCATAATTGGGAGAGCTTAGAATGATGATGTGTAGAATAAACTAACATCCTGATGTAAGGATGTTTAGTATTCTAAAATATATCATGACCTTGAATATTGAACCATTTCCTGTTGATTTATTTTGTCTAAATTGTGCAATGTTTTTATTTTATTTTACCGGGGAAAAAGTCCAAATAATTGGCAAGATCTAAATGACTTAAATTTGGTGACAAGTAATTTGTGTATTTCAAACATCCTTAGCCTTGATATTTGTGCTATATAAAATTATGTGAGTTTCAGAAAATGAATAGATGTGGATTCCTTCCGACTAATGTGGTTTGATCACGCCAGGCCACCTGAAACAGAGTATAAGATGGTCCCTACATTCAAAACAGCTGGACAAAGCAGCCCTACAGAATACAGCCAGGATTTCTGAATCTTCTTCGAATCCCCCATTACAGCGCCCCTTACCAGCAGGAAGTAGTTTGGAAAGAACGACGCCCAAATTCCCAAATATTATGTATAAATGTTTGTTTTCATTTAATTTGACTTTGTTATATAAAATAAAATAATAAAATAAAAAAATTATATGAGTTTATGTTGTATTGTACTTAAGTAATATGTTTAGTTTATGCAATTTTCAAAGTTGATTCAATGAGGTCTGTAGAGACAGTTTTTATTTGTGTGTGTGTGTGTGTGTGTGTGTGTGTGTTTCGTATATTTTTTGCAGTTATGCAAGAAAGAATACAGACCAAAGACTATAAATAGCAGTCCCCAATTGATATAAAAATGAACAAGTAATGGCAATTTAGCTATGATGGGAATACTTTTGTCATGCAGCACTTAGATCTTTGGGACTATGGCATTGGCATTTTCTGTGCCACTAAATGAGAATAAGTTGGAGAATACAGGTATGCTTACTATTTAGACATTTTTTACAATTTCAACTAATAAACTTGGGATTCCCTCCCCCACCAATTTAGTAATGGGCAAACCTCCTTCTGCTCTGCTAACTTTATTCTAAGACTTATTTCTTAGACTTAAATAATCAGAATATATCTATGATACTCACATGTGCTGTACACCCAGCTCTCACCCTGTGGTCTGTTTTCATTCAGAAATAATAACTAAGAAAAAACAATCTCTTGCAAGTTTCTTTAGGCACTCTATCTAATTGGTACACCAAAGAACAGTCACAGGGAAGACTTTTTAACTTGATTGTTATGACTTGGCATATAAATATAAAGTCATTGGGTTTTCTCTTATATAACATATATGCAACCCTGACAATTCTCTGTATGGCTTATATTACAAATAATTTTGAAATTCATATCAAATTATTTGCTAAGTGTTTTATTCAAATTCTGACATAGGCAGTTTTTCCATTGCTAGAGTTTGTATTTTATTCACTTGAAAAAACAATTGGTACTCATTTAATCCACCTGTACAACTAACTTATCATATGATAAAGGTTCAAAGAATTAGTATCAAGAAATTCTTGATGAAGGCAAATGCAGAGAGAGTTCAGGGGTTCAGAGAAGAATGAAATTTCTAATGGCATTGTAAAGGATACCTTAATTTATTTTCCTCTTCTTTTAATACCCTCACAACCACAAGTGTCTCCAGATAGCCATAATTAATACCCAGCATTAAGTCTCATTCCAGGGTATGTAATGTAAACTCTAACATACAACTTGCACCCTTGGAGGTCACTTTCTTATTGGCATTTTAAAAGTTTCTCTCTTAAAAGAGCCTATACTAATTTGAAGTAATCCTGACATTAAATTTCAAATATTTCAGATTTTCAGATTCTCTTGATGTACTGTATTCTCCCACATGTTATAGTGGTCACTTTTTCAAAACTTGAACTTTACACCTTATTCTTTATTGTTTAAGGAGAAAAGAAAAGCTCATGCATACTACACAGCCTTGATAGCCTTCCATTTTTGAAAGACAATTCAGCTCACAGCACTGAATTTCCACACTGGCAAAGAAACCACATAAACTGAATTATATGAATTGGAGTCTATATCCCCCAATAAGCAGTACTTCACCTGGACATGGCATGGTAGAGATAGTGCTTTAGTCTATATTTCACTACAATGCATGTACTTATATATAAAGAAAAATACTGATACAACCAAAAATAGAAAATTGTATTAACGAGACTCCCACTAAAATATGTGGAATGTAGAGTTAATATCATTCCACATAAGGAAGATATTTTTGCCATTAATTTTCTATCATTAACGCGACTATCCTGTCTAATTTATCAGTTTCTAGAATGCCACAGGATGGCAGTTA